ATTTATCAAAATGTCACACTTCCAAGTTACGTTACAATAAAGCGTGTTCTACAAAACACATCTTGCACACGTGACATCCCAATCAACAAAAGTACAAAATATGCCTTACACATGTGGCAAAGTCACTTTCTATGAAAGTGCCTTATGCTGATTTGACAGGTACACGTGTAAAACACATTTAATAAAATGCGTTTTGAAATTTTTTTGAAGAAAAAACTATAATGACTAATATGTAATTTAAACATCTTGATTCTATGAGTTAGAAAGCTAATGGTGTTAGGTTATATAGACTTAAGTGAAATTTTAGACTCTGTTTGTAAATAATGTGTGACAAAGAACAAGAGAGTATTTCTGAAACTTTTTTTCTTCATATTATCTCTATTTCTTACATTTATGATATACCACGTAAATTCCACTTATAAACTATTATATATAAATTTTATTATTATATATATATATATATATATGAATTAAAAAAATATTTTAATACTTTAAAATATTAAATAATTAATCTTATAAATCATTTTATTAAAAATTTTGTATAAAAATTTAACTGTTATAATTGTTTATTCCATAGTAAGTTATTGCAATATAATTATTTATTTTTTTTATATTTTTAAATATTAAGAATACTATTTTAAAAAATAAAAAAATAAGTGATCTAATGAATTTAGATTTTAATAAATTTATTTTTATTAAAAGACAATTTTTCTTTATATTTATTGTGTCAATAAAATAATTCATATTTTTTTATTTAAGACTAAACTTAAATTATAGATATAATTATTTATTCTCAAAATTAATTTAATAATGTTTTGTAAAAGTATTATAAAATATATAATTATTTATTTGATTTTAATTTTAACTTAAATATTCTTATCAAATATTTCTTAAAAATTTAATTCATAATTAAAAAATAATTATTGAAATATTTTAACACATAACAAATATTTAATTTTAATTAATATAAACCTGAATTTATATTTTAATAGTAAATATTAAACTAATGAAATTCTAACAATAATATATATGATATATTGTAAATGTAAAAAAAAAAAGAGATAATGTGAAAAAGGTTAAAGGAAAGTCTTTTGTTCTTTATTCCACATTGTTTAGAAATACAGTTTTAACACTTCACTTATGTTTGTATAAACTAACCCATTAATTTTGTAACTCCATATTGAGTGGAATGCCATGTGTGCAAAACGTGTTCTGTAGAATGTGCCTTACTGTAATACGAAAGTGTGATATTTTGATAAATATTGGTCAATTGGTGCCATTTTAATAGATTCTAATTTTTAGGATATTTTTAATAAAATTGTCAAAAGTTGTGAGTTAGAGAAAGAGAGATTAGAAATAGAGATAGAGAAATTTTGAGATAAGCTTATTGTAACACCCCAAATTTATTTACTTTTAATTTGACTTTATCTAATTAATTTTTTTGTGTGAATTTTCAAAGTTTTGGGACAACTTTAGGATTTCCTAATAGTTTAGGGATTTATTCCCTAATTTGACCATCGTTGGTTTACAAAGAGAAAAATGGAAAAAGGGTGAGATATTTCAAATGTATGGCTAAATGGAATTAAACCTTAGGCATGGAAACCCATGCTCCTACCATTCGAGCTAGGCTACATTCATGTTAGGATTAGCCTAAAATATTTTTTACCTTTATAGATTGGGATTTTAAATCCCCAACTCAGTTCCTCCCCTGAAGGATCGAACCAAACCCCCCCCCCCCAAAATCCTTAAAATTAAAAATCACCACCGTTCGACCCTCATCATCGATTGCACCACCTCCGGTCACTGTGTTCGACACCTCTGGTACCCCCGTGGCCGTCTTCTAACTTCGATCAAAACCCTTAAAGAAATTCATCGAAAGCCATCGCTATTCACCTTGAATTGATGTTTGTTTGTTCACCGAAAACCTAATCCACCGCCACAAATTTTCATGATTTTGCACCAATTCCGCCACCGTTGTGATATACCGTCGTCATCACTGAGTTCCCCACTCAGTTCTGACCTAAACTTGGTTGAGTTCGTCCTCTCACGTCGTCGATTTCCCCTACCACCATTGGGTAAGCTTTCGGTTGTTCTAATTCAATTTTCATCGACGTTTTGTTGGTTTATTGAGTTGGATTTGATGTTTTAGAGTGTTCCGATTAATCGACTATTTATCAGAGCCATTCGCTTGCTGCACGTGCCCTTGTCATGCGTGTGCTTCTCGGCCGACCTGAATTCTTTAGAAATTGAGTCATCTCGCGCTGAGTCAAATCGCACTGGTTTGGCCCGTTGACTTTGACCAGCGTTGACATTGACTTTGACCAAAAAGTCAAAATTTTTGAAAAGTCATATTTTATATTTTTTGACGTCTTGAGTTCGAATCTGAAGTCCATTTTGATAAATTCTAATCCATTTTGAATCCCAAACATGCATATGTATTTAATTATTTTATTCAAGTGCATTTAAATTAAAGTCAATTATTGATTTATATTATTAATTATTGAAGGTACTCGAGACTTGCCCGACCGCTCGTTAACTCAACCCAGCTCCTCCCGATCCATTCGGCCTCGTGAGCCCGTGATTACTCGTATAGTTTCGTAAACCCTATAAATAGTGAAATTTAAATATTTCTTTAATAGTAACCCAAATTCATTATGGTTTAGGTTCGAGCATTGCTGTAGAACGTAGCGAGGTCGGTGCTCAGTAGACTTTTTGGTCTGATTCCGTTTTACGAGGTGTGTTCCTTGTGTGCTATATGACTGTTTTACCTGTTTTATAATATAACTGATTTATCTGTTCTAAAGATGATTGTTTATTTGATCTGATTGATGAATATTTTATATGATCAATATCTTGATTCTTGATTTACTGATTACAAACTGGGTTGTATGATACATGTTCTATGATTATTTGTTTTACTAAGAAAATTAATTATAATAGTTTTTTTTGGAATTATGGAGTTTCTATGTATTGCCTGAATTGTTTATTGGGGTACTACCTGGGTAGGTGGCTGGAGTTCTGATATTCAACTATTTGGTAATTCCTTTCTATTCTGTTATGGGGAACTGCATTTTTGGTGTACGGGTGGAGGGTAGTTATCCGTTCTAAATAAACCCACTAACACTTTTATAGTACTTTATTGAACTATTCATTCGAACTCTTGAATATGTTTTATATTGCACTTAATGGAACACACTGAGCTTCCTAGCTCACTCCCCAACTTTTCCCCTTTCAGTTACTTTTGCATAGGCATTCCCGGATATGTCACTTGGAGGATCGACACATTTTGTACTGTATTTTGTTGTAATGTTTCCATCTTTCGAACTGCCTTTATTTTGGTGACATATGTTTATATTTTGATATTATGGTTATGGCTTCTTATGTTTACTCCTAATGTATAGATTTATACGATATTTGATATTCAATACTCATAACTTTCTGTTTTAAATTTCTGGAATTGATTTCGATAGTATTATTTTGGATCTATAAATGTTTTTGAAATTTAAGTTACCTTTTGAAAATGTTTTAGAAGTTTGTAATGTGATTTGCTAAACCTAGTCGTAACGTATAGGCTAGGTCTAGGGGGTTACACGTATAATATTGTAATTGTATTATGTGTTAATAGAAATATTATCTTTTTTTTGTAACTATAAGTTTCTTAATTAATAAATGATCGGTTATATCGCTTGATTGATGACTTTTTGATTGATATATGATCGACCCTTACGCCTAATAATTATTGTGCACTAAAAATTTATAAACTAATAGGTTAACCAATAAAAAAGTTGATATAATATTAGTGATAGATCTTAAGTACTCTATAGTGAATATGTTGGGCTCATCAAATTTCAAATACTTGCGATAACCATTATAAATCGTTAATATCTAGTAGCATACAACCAATAAAATATTAGTCATATAACATCAAATTATAATCCTACATATCAAAACAGTTCAAGTTATAGTGTTGCAAATGAAAACATACAAATAAATATAGAAAAACATATAACATCACCTAAATAAATTATAATTTCCTAAGTTAAATTATAATTTAATGTCATAGTCAACAAGGAGTTAACCTTCATGACAATATACGATCAACTCAACCAAATTTGGACGAAACTTTATGAGAAAATCCATGTGTAAAATGAGTTTCTCCTCAAAATGTTGAAAAAAATAATATTAATTTGATGATATATAATCACATAAAATTACATAAAAAGTTTGAGTTAGTAAAGAAATGTTGAACTTTACACGAAAGTAAAGAATATAGCACAAAAACGTGAAATTGCTTTCATTCCATTAATAAAGTAGCTTTTATAGTACAAAGATAAGCTATTAACCCTAACAGCTCACGTAATTACTTCTACAACTCAGCTAACCGTACACTAGCTACAATCAGCTACATCACAGTCTATAGACAGTCATCATAGTTAAACATTACCCCTGTTTCTCAGGAAATTCTACCGTATGATGCTTTAATATACGGCTAAGAAATACGTTGTCAGTTTTATTATTTTTTTAACATTTTCGGTAAACAATTACCGGAAACATTATTATTTTACCTAAAACATTAATGTTTTAACATTTCCAGTAAAATGCCTAATAATAACAAAATCGGTTGAAAAAATAATATTTTAGGTAACTCTTTACCAAACCCGGTAAAGCACCCAATAATAACAAAACTGGTAGAAATAATAATGTTTCTGGTAATTTTTTACAGGTTTTGTTAAAAAAATAATAACAAAACCAGTAGCGCATTTCCTTAATCGTATATTAAGGCTGTCGCACGTGAGATTTTCCCCTACTTCTTAATCCATCTACAATCTGACTATTAGCTAATACATAATTAACATGAACTTGATTTGTTGCTACCTTCTCACGAATAAAGTGTACATCCAAATCAATATGCTTTAAGCGTGCATGATAAACTGGATTTGCACTTAACGCTATAGCACCGGTGTTGTCACACCAAACAACATACACCTCATGTTGCTGACTCATGTGTCAACAAGCAAAGCATGAACCCAGGTTACTTCTGCTGTAGCATTAACTACACTCCTATACTCCGCCTCCATTGTAGACCGGGACACAGACTTTTGTTTCTTTGAACTCCAAGCAACAATTTTACATCCCAAGAACACACAATGTCCTGAAATCAAGCGTCGATCATCTGGGTTCCCTCCCCAGTCTCTATCAGCAAAAGCTTGCACTCGCAGTGGGAAGGTACCTTTCATAAACACTAGCACATTACTTAACGTTCTAGCAAAGTATCTTAGCACCCTTTTGGTAGCCAGAAAATGAGACTGACATAGAACATGCATAAACTGAGTTACTTTGTTCACACTAAATGCAATATTTGACCTTGTATCGTATGCATATAACAAGAAACCAACAATGCTTCGATACTCTTAAGCATTTTCAAGTTCATTGTCACCCTTTTGAACCAACTTTATCAAGGTGTTGAATTGGCACCATGCATATGTTTTCATCAACAACTCCTAAATGTATTTCCTTTGACTAAGTACAAGATCATCACCTCAACTCACTACTTCGATGCCCAAAAAATAACTAAGCTCACTCAGTTCTTTCAACGAGAATTCCTCATTTAGCCGTTTCACAACACCATCAATTTTTGTACTTGAACCTCTGGTGAGGATAACATCATCAACATAAACCAGTATGTATGTACGACACTTTTCATCGGTTTTAATAAAGATAAACACATATGCTCTTGACTCATAAACTTCATTCTCAAAACAACTTGCTTAAGTGTAGCATGCCAGTTCCTGGGAGCTTGGCATAAGCCATACAAGGCTTTGTAAAACTTGCACACAAGGTGTGACCCATCAGAAGCAGTCTGCTCAAAGCCCGGTGGCTGCTAAATATACATATCCTTGCTCAAGCCTTCATTAAAAAAGACATTATTCACATCAACTTGTCGTAGTTGTCACCCATATTAACAACAAATTAAAACCATATTTAGTGTAGAAAACTTCACGACAGGATTTAACGTGTCCTTAAAATCATGACCTGGGACTTACCTTTGGCCACCAATCACGCCTTATACCAATGAATCAACCCATCACGATCCCTCTTTAGTTTAAACAACCACGCCTCATCAGTTTTCAACGCACTGAACTCATCATGCATTGTTGTAAAGGGTAAAAAAAATAGTAAATAAATCAATACTAAAAAATAAAAAATTAAATAATGTTATAATAAAACTTTTAGAAAAACCAATTGTCAATCCTCAACAACAATGCCAAAAACTTGATCGTATGTAAATGTGTGTGATGTGCCAATTAAATCTATGCAAGTAATACAATAGTGAGTGAGTATTGTCTCCACATGGATTGGGGGAATTCTTTAAAAATTGCTACATCTAGGAATAGACATCACTAACTAATTCTATGCGTCTAAATCTAATGATATAAACAAATGAGAAATGTGCTATGGTAGATGATATGAACAGATAGAAAAATTTTGTTGAAATAAGAAATGTGTGAAATGAAGTGAGTAAATAATTTTTGTCCTGGCAAGAAAAATATGCAAGAGTAAACAAATAAAAATTGCTAAGGAAAAAATTACTTGAAAGAATAAGTAAATTACAGTTGCTAAGGAAAAAATGTTCAAGTTCTGAATATAGACTAACATCCTCACACAATCAGACTTCTAACAGAGCACTTGGGTTGGATTTGCTACTGCTAGAAATTATTCTATGCCTAGGATGAACTAAGTATGATGTGCCTATGCTACCCGACAAGATTTACTAAAGTGTTCCTAAGTTATCTCTAGTAAGGAACTTGATACAATTATTGCCACAACAATACCTCTAAATGTAAATAGTGACCTTAGCCTATCGATTAAGTACTATCCCTTTTAGTCGCTTGAAACCCTCTCCTTATCTCTTATGCAGATTAGAACCTTACCATCCCAAATTAGTTCCCTTGTTCACGTAGATCTAACCAAACTCTCTCGATATTAGGCATCAACTCCTAGAAAAATGGATATCTCTCAACAGTTCTTACAAAGACTAGGAATATTATGCCAATGCACCAGATAATCTCTTAAAAGCTCTTACAGTGCTAAGGCATAAGATTAAAACAGTGAACAAAACAAAAATAAATAAATATACTTATCATTCATTAAACATAAAATAAAGTATTATCCAAACATTTTCAACACCAAATAAAATAGTTCATGGTGTGACTAAAATAATCCCAAAATATTCATTAAGTGCAAGCCATTAAAAGATAAGAAATGAAGAACAATGAAAAGGAAACTCCCAAAATCAGAGCTTTGCCATGACATTAGACCATCACCAAGACTACTCTAGGACATTAGCCTCTCTAAAGGGCCTAGCCGCTACTCGGTGAAGCCGACTATGGAGGATACCATGAAACATGATAGGGGAACAGTGGAGAAATTATTGCAGCCACCTTTTCCAAAGCTTTTAGGGTAGGTGAGAGCGGGGAACTCTAAAATGGTGGGCATAATGTAATATTTATAGTGGGAAATTTCTAGGGTTTAGTGCCCTTGAATTTCCCAACTACCCTTGAATCATGCCTATTTCATGAATAATATGGTAGCTGGCAGTGTTCTAAATCCTTGACAGGGGAAAAGGTTCATGTAAAATCCCAAAGAACGGGTTAGTGACTAAATTGTAAAAATTTAGAATTTGGTGATTAAGGTAGAATAATTGAATAGTTCAAAAATGATTGTTAGTAAATATGAAATGAATTAAAGGACAAAATGGTCATTTGCAAGGAAAAATAATTAAAAATTTGGATGGGTTTATATTAACCCACGTGGAAGAGAAAAGAAGGCAAAAATTGGTTCCAAGTTCTATTTATCTTCTTCTCCTTGTTTGTCTCTTCTTCACGGTGGCTTTGGGCTACAAGGTAAGTTGGGTTTTTATGGTTAATTTCTGGAATTTTAAAGAGGGTTTTGATTGTTTAGATGTTATATAAGCTAAAGGAAAGCTTATATGACATTAAAACAACCAGATAAATGTTTTAGAGATAGATTTGAAAAATGGGTTTTTAGATGAAATTTTGATATGGATGAGTTTTTGAAGTTTGAATAAGATTTTTGACTTGCAAGAGGTTAATTAAGAAATATGGAGTGTTAGAATTGATTAATAACATGTTTGAAATTTGGGTATGATTCTTAGTTTTAAGAATTTGAATGAAGTATTGGAAATAATGAAGTGTTGAAATGATAGAAGTTAGTTAATATGGTTATAGTTAAGTTTGGTGGTATGAAAGGAACTTTGTATGAGAAAATTTAGTGAAGAGTTGATGAATTTCGGGTTTGAACAGTAAAATTTACAGATTATGTAGAGGGAATCGATTTCCCTAAAGGAAAGGTTGAAGTTTGGTTTATTAAATTAATCTAAGTTGTTAGTATCAAATTACAAGGGTTAGGCTTCTAATAACCATCTTGAAAATTATGTTTATGTAGATATAAAACGTAATCCTATTCCGGAACAATCGAAGAGTTAGGATTGAATCAACGAAATCGAGGCCAAGGTGAGTGCATATTATAATTATAGTACAGTGGAATAAGACTTGTGATAAGTCTAATTCCTATGTTGATTTTTATAGTACAATAGTTATGAACATGCATACATGATAACTATTATGATACATGTATAAGGTATATATGTTCATATGATTCGATAAATGATATATGTGAATAGATTCAAATGCACATGTGAAATTATAAGTGATATGAATTATGTGATTTCAAGAGAAATGGCATGAGCATATGAACATATGAAACATACGAGTAATGCCCATAGTATATGATATGAGAGCTATAGGTATAGTTGGCATGCCAAGAATCGAGGGTTTCATAGGTTCTTCGGGACATATTCACAGGTCCTTTGGGACAAACTTCATATGCCACTCAGTGGGACTTATACGAGCTGTGATGACAGCAATAGTGCACAACCTCAATGTACTCGAATACCTTGAGTTCTCAGTAATGTACATGGGCTTATAAATTGTTATTAAAGGTATTTGCATTATTATTGTTGTATGTTACCATATTGAATTACATGTTATATGATTGAATGGATAGATTGCATGTTCATATTCATAAGGAATGTATCATTATTATATTTATATGCCTCACTAAGTCTATGACTTAGCGTGTAAGTGATTTACACGTAGGTACCAAGAACCAAGAATAGCGGAAATAGGAGTGGCAAGAACAACAACACTGCTAGAAGATCAGATCAGAAGTAAATAATAAAGTATGTATTTTGATTGTATATAGTATGTTGGCATGTAAGAAATGTTTTAGTAAGAATGCTCTGATCGACTTTTCTAATGTTTTAAACATATTCATGTAAATATAAATGTATAGTAATTAACGGTTAAATTTTTACGAGTTTTATGTAAGTTTTACGAAATTACTGTAGCAGTGCATCGATGCACTGTAGCAGGTTACTGTTCATAAAAGGGAAAAATATTTTCTTAAATTGGTTATAATGAATATAATTAAATAGTATATTATCATATTTTCTTAAAATAAGTTCAAATGTTTTGTTATTTTGTAAGGAAAAGTGTTTTAAAAAGGCAATGTGACATCTCGGACTCGTATTCGGGTTGAGTACGGGTTGAGGGTGTTACATATAATGGCATCAGAGCTAAGGTTTAGTCGATTCTCTGCATAAACTGGAGTCTAGAGTGTTTTATAATGTATACATGCCAACAAAATAGTGAAAACTTCTGATCTAATAGAATAGTAAGAATGTTGCGTTGCTAATAGAATGATATGGTTGTGTTTTTATAGATGTCCAGACATGATAGTTCTCAAAGTCAAGCGGGAGATGATCGGCCTGCTGAAAGTAGTAATTCACATGCCCTGGCCAGGCAAGGTGAAGAACAAACACCTTCTGGAGTGCCTGTATCTATCAAGATGTGTTCTTTAGAACGTTAAAAGCGGTATTGGCCCGTTTTCAACCTCCTGCTACTTCAACTCCAAGAATGAATGTTACAAAGGAGTTGAAGGGTTTAAGAGCTCCAGAGTTTAAAGGTGAAGTCGAGGAAGGTCCTGTTGCTGCGGACCTTTGGCTCAATGATGTAAAAATTATGTTAGAAGGACTCCACTATTCTGATGTGGAGAAGTTGGACGGAGTAGTCTCTTTACTTCGTGGGCAAGCGAGAATTTGGTGGACAAATGTCACTTTGAGGATGACCAGTGATAAAGTGACATGGTCTCTGTTCTTGGAAGAGTTTCAGCATAAATATATAGGAGACCAATTCATCAAGCAAATGAAGCAAGAATTTTTAAATTTGAAACAAATGAACCGCACTGTATATGAGTATGAGTGTGAATTTAATAAGTTAAGTCGCTTTGCAGAGTTGGTGCCGACAGAGAAAGATTCCTGTGAGTGTTTGTTGAGGGCTTGCATCCAAT